CTTTAAAGTTAATCGTGACCATGAAAAACTTGTCATTGTATCATAATTAGGGAAAACAATTATTTTCAATAGGACGTGATAGTATTATATACTCGTATATTTATAAAGCGCATTTCTGTACAGATAATTTAGATCTGTCTAAAACATGCACAGTCTATTTGATATGCATACCTTTTGGTTTGGTCTGAATACATTATGTCTGACGTTAGCGAGACAGTGGATCAGCATTTATACATTTATAATTTCAATTAACTGATAAATATACGACTTATATGCGTGCCCCTTAAACACCTCATGTTGTAATTTCGTAAATTTTCAATTTTACTTTTTAAAAGTGAATCCAAGTTAGATTTTGTCACACAATGAAAATCGCCCAATGAAAGAACATAATATTACATTATGAATCGGGACAATATTCAACTCTCTTTTACAGCTGATAATAAATTCGAAAGCATTATCACTGATGCCCGAATAATTTAATAATAAAGCACAAAAAGATGTATGAAATAGAAAGGGAGAAATCCAGTTATAGATATACCGTCCGTGACCATGAAGTATGAATTTCTAATTAATGTGTAACGAGCTGTGGTTACGACTCGAACAACTGTAATTTCTCTGCATACTTTGCGTTTACATTGACATGAACTAAGATTGAATTTTCGTCTTAATCCTGATTTAACAAATGTATTCTGTCAACATTAGCATAAGATTGAAAAGATTGACAAGTTCTGCTCTTAGAAATGACATGTTTAAAGACGAAATTTATCATTGACTGTTACTTCCATAGTCATGGGTTTGTTTGAACTGCACTTTTAAAGTAAGTACAAAATCGGTCACTTTTTTACCATTGTAGAGAAATCAACATCAAAACATCTGGATTATTGTGGCCTGTCATACTATTGCTATGCTAATGTTATGCAATATTCAGTATTGATCTTTCAATCTCCATTAAATGTATGATTACAATATGAACAATTAAACTGTAAACAACCGTTTCAATAGTTCGGACGTATGATAAATGTAAATTCTGGGAACCTGTTAAACTGTAAACAACCGTTTCGATGGTTCGGACGTATGATAAATGTAAATTCTGGGAACCTGATTATAGAATTATGTTTGATTTGAAGTGCATGCAGTTTAATGCAAACAATTACTGCTCAAGAACGCATACTTGAAATTTATGATTTTACCAAACTATCAGACTATATCAACTGTTTATTGCTCGTTTAGTAATGAGCGCGAATAATAACAGATGACCCGAACCAGCTAAACTCTCCAAGGATTGACAATTTGAATGTCACAAGAGAATTAAAATATATCAAATGCTTTCGTGTAATATCATGCAGTGTATGTTGTATGAGAACAATAAAACTTTGTAAACATCTTTTGTTTACAGGGTCTTACTTATACACATCTTCATAACATAATGATCGCTATATCCAACCTAAAACCAATACAATGACCATATTTGGTCATCCTCAAATCAGGATGTACGTACCCTGTCTTTACTACAATATGACTATGTATAAACACATGAAAAGCACCTTGATATACACACATATATATATATAATTAAGCTTGTAAAGTGTAATCAATATCAAATTATCTAGCAACACGTTAGGTATGACATTAAAGAATGACTAAATTAAGCCGAACGTGAAATGAAAGTCTGGAAAATCTTAAAGGAAATTAAATGACGCTTACAGTGTTGGTTCTTAAGATTTTACACGTTAATGTAGATGGAATGTTGTATATACACTTAATTCGGCTAATCATTTATACCAATAAAGCAAGAGTTAGTGTATAAGGGAATCAGGTCATACGATTCGGAGCTATCGATATGTATTGCATGTTAACAAGTTAAATTGTTTTATTGAGAATCATACCTTCTTTATTTTCACTTTTCACATAGAAACGATTTCTGTCACCTATCTGACAAACGATAAATAATGTTGGATATTATTATTTCAAAAGTATAACCATTTCTCACGTAAAAAGGGGATGACCTCGTCTAATCGTTGTGTACGTACGAATGTGAGGGAACAGGCCAGGTCCCGCTGATCAGCAGGTGAGATAACATCCAAATATTGCTAGATCGAGATCTAGGCCACTTAAGTAATCAAACAAAGATCCTTGTGTGCCTGGTAAACAGACTGGCAATATAATAGTCCAAATTTCACAAATGACTTCAGCGTGCATAATGTGTTTAGTTGACATTTAACGAGTTTATATACGCTTTCACGATCTAGTAGTTGCGTTATTGAAAAATCTCTTTTAAACAAACAATATATGATGCAAATATCTATGTATATCCTTCCATTTTTTTGTTAAATGTTTGCCTTTGTCTATTATGTTTTTTAAAGAATTTTGATCCTATGCGTTTCTGAAGATGCTGGATAAGGAATTGGTTTATTTAGCAAGCGGACCTTCTATTACTAAATTACTACAACAATTAGTTCTTCTTTTGGCGAGTCGTTTGAAAAAAGTTTGTATATATGAGTTAAACTTGATATTTACTGTAAAACGTTTGAATTGTAGATGACTGTATTTATCTGATCTGATGTTACGGAGAGTTTGAAAATTACAGTGATTAAACAAAGTTTTTAGTCATGAGAAATGGAAATCTTCTCGATGAAAATTGTACCCAGTTTGCACGTTTATCCTGTATGAACCGTTGTTAAGTGGTCCGGTTCGGTACACACATATAAAAGGACACCTTGGGCCCCCTTTTTAATTATACTGTCTCCCTCACAGTTAAATCCTGATAGACACCTGGTTCCTTTATCACATACAATAACATCCCTTGATCCGTCGATCAATGGAGCATGTCGGTCTTCTTAATACAACAAACAAAAATGTATTGAACTTTCCCAGGACTTGTAAACAAATTGTTTTGACCTGACTGATCCATTCAGCAACACAAATCTATTAAGAACCACATGTTTACTAGCCATCACATATACCGACCAAGTCAGAGGTACATGTCTACTGTCCTCCGACAAATAAAGAAAGCGGGCGAGAAGGTCTGGGGTATATTATCGCACCTATCACAAAGCAATTTAATTATAGGCTCCATATCTTTCCAATACAATCTTCCATACAATTTGGCAGCTGAAAATAACACTTGTTGTCGCTTCTGAATAATAAATCCAGGGATATTGTAATAATAACAATCAATAGAGCTATGTCATATATACAAAATTATTCTCCATTATCAGAGTGAGTTTTTTTATAAGAATATTAGTCAAATTCTTCCTCGAAGCTTTAAGTTGCTTGATTATCCACTTGAACATTATGGTGCACCACTTCCGGGACTTTCAGCATATCCATTTCCGCTTCCCTTTGTTTTTCCCCAGAATGATCAGAAACCGACAAGCTCGTTTGTCGATGTTTGATGTCCCTAATTTTCTGGTAGTCGTCGTGCTCAGGAGAATTTAAACCACCATTGACCACTGGCACCCCGTTTCTATTCAAACCAAACGTTTGTGGTGTGACCACCTGGCGACTTCGGCGGTAAGATTGTTCCATACGCTTACGGCTCCTGTTTGGTACAGCGTACACATCCTCTATCGGGCGCTCTACAGTGGAGTTAAGGAACAGTCCTGATGCCCTGGGGTAGTGTCTCCAGGATTGTTTTCCTTCTCTTTTAACTTTTCCGTCAGGTGGCAGGGTTACATACCTCATCATTTTCTTGTTAAGGGAACCAGATGAGCTGGAACTGGATGACCTTAACTGATGACGAGGAACTAGCCGGTGATCAGGATGGCTGTACATAACCGAATCACTCTGGTACCTTTGTGTCCTATTGGGTATTTGTGAAGATGTAACAGGCCTTGTATAGCGTAGGGATCTCGGATCACTACTGACACGACTTCGCCTCACAAAAAGCATCTTTTGCCTATTCTGAGCATGTGCTTGTGCCTGCTGGCGGACATGTCTGGTTATTTCCGTTTGACTTGCAAAGCTCCGTGAATCATACTGATCCTGAAATCCTTGTCCACTAAACATATAGTTGGAATTCTGAGAATCGGATAACTGCTTCCGCTTGAAATACTCAGTGTTACTTATCGCGACGGATGACTGTACAATGAGTCTGAGCTCCTTTACTTCCTTTTGAAGATTAGAAATTTCATCCTTAAGAGAACCGGAAGAGGACATCGCTAAACTGTCGGCGTCGCCTTCATGCATATCCGTTTGCACGGTAGCGTCACGCTGCAACGGATAGGTGATATTGTTATGTTCCGCAAAATTCACGGTCCGGGTGGGAGTAAATACGTCATCTTCATGGGTTTGTGAGCTCGAGCTACCACGTGGTACATGGACGACCTTGATCTGATCAAGGTCTTCCTTCTGTTGTACATTTGAATGAAAGTCAATCACCTTGACGTTGTTTTCTTCTTTGTCTTCCGTTGGAACGTTTTGTTCTTCTTGTTCTTCTTGTTCTGCGTTGGTCGTGACGGTCTGGCTAAGTCCTGTTGTGACCACGGAGCGACCTTGACTTTTCTTACGGTACCTGTGTGTTTCGGTGGATATTTCCCTATTAACTACCACACTGCCGTTTCTATAGTTACCATGTGACGTTGACTCCGTTACATTGTGGCCATTTGGCAGATTGTTATTGTTATTATGGGTTTCACTGAAACACTTCAAAATATCAAACACATCGTTTTCATTAGCGCATCTCCATACAAGTATACTTAGTAACAACGTGGAATCGTCTTTTACAACACATAAAACAGATTCTTGTTGTAACCGGTTCTGTTTTATCTCCAAAACATTCTTCTCTGGGATTATTCCAGATTTTTGTGATTTTTCATATACACTTAGTTTGATGCCGTGTGGCAGTACCTGTAGCGTCGAAGGCGCCCCTTTGTTATCCTTGCCATGGGCTGTGATGTCGTGTAAAAGGTGCTCCGACAGTCGGTTTGCCTTCCACGAACCCAGAAAATGAATATTCTTCTCCAAGAGTACGTCTGCCATTTCGGTAGCTGTCCCGGGAGATGGAGATGCGCGGTCAGCGGAGAGCGAGTGACGGCCTTGTCATGTTGCCGATTGAAGACTGTCAGATCAATACCTGGCCCAAGTCTACAGGTATATACACAACGTCACTGAAGCGGTAACAGTACGGAACACCTTCGGGAGCAGCCGCTAACGCTGAACATGTGACTCGGCCAACGTGGAGCATTAATTATTAATGCGTTGTCGTCCAAGGCGTGCTTTTGACAATACAATTAACGCAAATGAAGACATTTCTGCCAATAACATACATTTCACGAGATAGTTTTGTTTTATTCTAATTCCTTCGTTTGTAATATACCTCGAGGTGGCAAAAGCGTGTTCCCAATTAACACATATTGCGATGTATCAAATACACATACAGCATCGGAGATGGACATCAGGTATGGTAACGTGGGTAAGCTGAATTGCAGATACTCAATAGATAAAATTGCAATAGCAAGTCTCTTGATAATCTTAACATTCCACTTGTTCAATGAAGCACCATCTGTAAAATAATCAATACAAACATACCTGTTCGTTCAATCTACTATAAATTAAATGCCATAAAAATGTCATAGCATTTTTTATGGATATACACATTATACTCTAGATGTGAATAAAGGCGGGAAATGGTTGATATAAAACACAGACATCCACGTGTCAGTATTAGTATTAATTAGCAGCTAGAGCCTACGCAGTTCAGGTGGAAATCCAAGGTGTCATCTTTTGTAGTTTGTGTTATTCAAAACGCACGTAGACGGGCTGATTGGTGCTGTCGTGACTGTAGCCTTTGGAAAGACACTTTTCACCACTGTTTGGCATTTGTCGGGCCTCTACTTGTTGTTAATTTAGGTACGTTTCGACTATAACATAATGATCACGCCTCAACAGGCGATAGAAATTACAACAACATACCTTTTACTTTTTACAAAGTTCGTGTGCAGTATCGTGAGATATATTGAGCGAAGAGCGAACCCAGTAAGGTTTCAATAGGTACTGTGTACGCTATTCCGTAGAATCTAGTCAGAAGATTCGTATTAAAATTTACTTTTACAGAAGCTCGCCTGGTGTTGGTGTTGGCTGTGGTTACGGCGGGTGAGGTATTTAGGCGTTCCCCATCAGGACGGGACGTGGGAAGCATGCCAAACACGTACTTATGCGGCAGTACCATTACGAACCAGTCGAGCGCAGCCATCAAAGTTAACCGACGATGCGAGAACACTAAAAATTCACGAAATCCAAAACAAATTTAAGTCTCTTAAATTTCAATATCTATCTGAGCGTGGATAGTAAATGGTATGAATTGCGTGGTAAGGATCCCGTGCTGCTCTATCTTAACGCTGTATAAATGACATAGGATCATACCTAGACAGATGCAATATCATATTTTATTCAGACCGGTTTGGTGTGTTTTGTAAATATACATTCCGTCCCACATAACGTATTATATTGCGTAGCACGTATACATCGGAATTTCGAGTGATTCATTTTCTCTTTTTGTTATAGTAATATACAAGCAAATCTTGATCATTTGGCTTCTGTGTAGATTTGGAGTGGTAATACGTTAGCGAGAAAGATAATGTCAAATAACTGGGGACCGATACAATGGGTAGTGTGACACCTCAGTATAGCTATTCAGCTAGTGTCACAGTCGTACAAAACCCCGCTTCACATGAACTATTCGGCACTGTAACAAACAACAAATCCTCATCATATTGCCTCGTTAAGCGTGATTAAAGACAATATTTGCTATTCAGAAAAACAACTGCCCTCTGAAATTGACATCCAGTTTGTAGCGCGACCACCTATATTAACCTTCAGTGCTTTTGTATATGTAAACACACAATACCCTAGTAGTTTAATACATCACCGTACTTCAGTTTGGTCTGCCATTCATCTGATCACATATTTTAGATACCCTGTAGTTCACTCCCCCCTTTGACGAATTTTAAGGACATGGTGATGTTCTTGTGAAGCATTTTTATCTTTTAGCATCATATCCTCAACATTGATAATGATTAATTTATTTAAAAAGCCCTTAATGATTTGCCAACAAATGATAAAAGTACAATTAACATTGAAAATGAAGAATTAATGGATGGTTTTATAGAGCTTCTGTGATGACTTGGCTGATATTTTAATTGTTATACGCACACTTCGTTGTTCATTTGATTTGATCGTCAGACTTCACACACTCGTAAATGATTTATTAAAAAGAAATGTTTTTCCCAATGACAGTCATCAATACACCTACGAACAATGTTACATTAGGTAAGTGTGACACTTTAATGACCTCTGTTTACCAACCCTAGACACAACGTTAGCGACTACAGATACACGTTACTAACGTATAATACCTTCAGCATTTAACTAGAAATATTGTCATGTCAGCAGCATCATAATTCAAACTCAAACGGCGAAATCAGAAGAAAAGCATGGACAAAGTTGTATACGGAAATCCTTGGAAAAAGGATAAGGCGAACAAGAATAGGATAGGCGATCACACCCGCCACGTAAATATTGATGAATCCAAGTAGTGTTATGTCCTCAGATCAAAATAAACAAAATAAAATCTTCATTGTGTTCATATTTTGTCCTAGTTTTTTTTTAAATTTGAGTTTAGATTATGATTATGTTGACATGTTGGATTTATTAGTTGTTTTTCAATACGATCAGGTTAGAAATCAGAAATCATGTTATATACGAAATGATAAATATATTTGTTTTAATATTTGAATGTTTGGGGCCATGAAAATGCCGCTATTGTTGTATACATGTCTTAGAAAAAGTTAGCGCAGCCGTTAAATATGTAAAAATAACCCTTATTATAAACAATGTATTTGTTTTGTTCCAATACAGCATACTGTAATATATACATGGGAAATAACTCCCTTGAAGTATATTTTATCAAATAAATTATACTAGATATTTTGGACATTTTCGTTATACATTGTATACAACATACGAAATCATCCCCCCTCTTTTTATCAGTTTGATAGTAAGAATAACACAACTATGTAAATATCTTTCTACCACAATAGACTTCAGTTAATCAGTCCAACTGTTGTGTAATAGCATGTTTTGATTGACTGGCAGGGTATAACTTCGCCCGAAATGGCGCTTCACGCACTCACCGAAATTAGAACACGCAATAATTAGTTCATAATTGTTTTTTTTTTTTTTTTTATAATTTGATTTCTTGTTTGGATTTCTATCCCGTTTAATTTGCTTTGAAGCAATTTATTTCTAGTCAATGTTTGCAATACGTTACAATATCTCCATGTTTGGATGAAATTGTCAGTTTTACATATTAATTAGCGGCATATCACCAAAGTCTTATCATTACACCATAACTGATGATGTAATCAAAACACATCAGGCTTCAGAATAGGTCAGTTCAACTTAGGAATAACGTTTTTTTATTGTGGTAGAAGCAGATGTCACAAACTCGGTGTTTTATAGTTAGTAGTATTTTTTAATGGTGTTAGCAGATACAATTATTGCGAAGGTGGTAAATTACTCTCCGAGACTTGCCTACATGCCACATTCGATCTTTTCAAATCGGTTCAGAGTATACACATATATTTGACGTTTTTCTGTAAATTACTAAATTGAATTCGGGGCTAGTGCACCTTCCTTTCTAAATTTTGACATGTTTCGGTCCCTTGTGATTTTCCTCAGTCACCTCATAGGTTTTAAAGACCAAGCCCTTAGCAGCACTGACGAGTCATAGGAGTACAAAACAGCTGTATGATGCAGCTGATAAGTGGATTTTTTTTTTAAATAACTCACTCGAGTGAAAGAAATACCATGAACTACAACCACTCGTTGTGTAAATCATTTCTTGCAGCATACCTTTAATTGAGTAATGTCACAATTTATTTGCACATTCGAGAGCCATTGAATTAGCGTGTCACATTCAGTTATCATCAACTTGCATGTTTGACGATCAGAAGAACACTAACCATCCACCTTGGTGTGGTGTAAACAGAGTTTAATTAATCCTCCGGATACCATTTTAAATTTCTGCATACAGCATTCGGTAAAGCCTCTTGTCGTGCTAAATGCTATCGGATTGAGATGTCAGTATATATCAAAACAGGGTGCTGACATAGTTACATACCTGTTTAACTACATATACAATACAGATGTGTAAGTTAAGGACTATAAATGTAACCTATAAAATGCATCTAGGACCTTCCTCTCTATGATGTCCTATGTGTGGTCATTAAGACGCGACATTACACTGGTAAAATGGAAATATAATATCCTTCGCTGTTGTACGTATCTCATTAAAACAAAGAGCCATGAATTAAAATCACTTTTCATACCATGACAGCATACTAATTGTGATTATCTTTATATAAAAGTCTCCTTTTTATTTTGAACACTAGGGAAACATATGTTCGGTGGCAACTTTGTTTCAAGATTCAAAAACATTTTTATGGAGTACTCAGTCTATGTTAACGTTCTTTGTGGCTCCGACAAAAACTTTAATGAAGCTTTTATTTACAGGGTCAAGAATCCAAAAAATAAATTTTGATATTCTATATTTTTAATATCATTGGGACTTTACATAAACTCATCAGGATCAGGGCACTATTATCGGTAAACTAAGCAGATATCGCGCTTTCATTTTTAGCCTCAATGTCATTTTTTATCTTTCAATACAATCATACGTGCATCAGATATGAAGGAAAACGAATTCATTCGGGCCTACTAATAAGCAATCTTACAATGTTCGCCGAAGTTTAGAAAGACATTTGTAAATGATATCACAATGACGATTTAAAAACTAATTTGGTATCAGTTTTATATTTTGTATATTTTTTATATCTATATATCATTGTTTGTTCCTTTTCCCTTCTCAATGTTTTAAATATTTTTCTTGCTATTTTCCTCCGAAGAGATGAAATGTTATTGAAGAACGCAATGTCATGTCTATTTATGATGACTTGTGTAAGTAATGGTCAGTATTAGTCGCGATGAGAATGGTGAGTGATAAAATACAAATAAGAAAACTTTGTCTGAATCCTTTTGAAAGCATGCTCTCATATACAACATTTTTCGATTCACGCCGGAAGTCATCTACT